AGTCAAAATATAGTATAGTTATTACACTGTTTTCTTTATTACAGGAAAAGCAGCAATCCTCTAGTGACAACTTGGATCAAGCACGGCAGGAGGAATGGAGGCTGCACTATATTGCCAATCCCAGGAAATGTGACATTTTTTAAAGCCAAGGTAATCCAGGATGATAAAAGACCATTTCAGACAGCTGTAGGAACCCATGGACACGCCTCCAGGATCATTAAAAAAAAAGACCAACCAAATTTTGGAAATTTGCTGTTCGCCAATCCCAGGATATGTGGACCTTTTCAGAACCAAGGAAAATCTAGGATGACTGACAAATTGGGGATCTTGGGGATGTTATGGAGCTACACTGCTACATTGATAGGGATCTTGTGGGTTTATGTGACGAAGTCCATCATTTCTCACCTTTTAGTGAGAAGGACCGATTTCTCAGTGAACTGACTAGAACCCTGGATATGTAGATAAGGATTCCAGAAGAAGACGATCCAGAAGATTATTTCGCAGTGATTGGGGTAACAGAGGCATTCTCCAGGACCAACAAAGAAGACTAAAATTCTAAAATGGATTTACATAGAGGATACAGCCAACATGAACTGAAATACCTATGGGTTTACTAGAAACTGAGATTTTTCAAATGTGAACATGATAAGTGCCAGATTCATACTGGGTTTTGTTGATCATCTCCCAAGGTAATAATTATTTTAAATTGAAACGTGAAAGATAGAACGTAACCATTTATGATCAACGTCATGCACCACTCTGATTTTCTGAAGTCAAAAAAGACTCACTTTACCTGAACATAATAAGATTATTAATATCTCTCGATTATAGTCAAAATGTAGTATAATTATAACACTGTTTTTTTTCATTACAGTGAAGGCAGCAATCCTCTAGTCAAACACAGCGGAAGGAATGAAGACTGCACTATATTGCCCAAACCAGGAAATGTGCAACTTTTTAAAACTAAGGTAAATCCAAGATGAGAAAAGACTATTTCAGACAGCTGTAGGAATCCATCAACCTGAAGAGATGCTTCCAGGATCAATAAGGAAGAAGACTGACCAGAGTTTGAAGTTTAATGTTAGCCAATCCCAGGATATTTGGATCTTTTCAGAACGGAGGAAAATCCAGGATGACTGATGAATTGGGGATCTTGTGGGTGTGATGGAGCTACACTGCTACATTGATAGGGATCTTGTGAGTCTATCTGATAAAATCTATCATTTCTCATCTTTGGGTGAGAATAAACGACTTCTCAGTGAACTGAATCGAACCCTGAATATGTAGATGAGGATTCCAGAAGAAGAGGATCCAGAAGAAAATTTCAGACACCCAGAGGCATTCTCAAGGACTAACAAAGAAGACTGAAACGGATACAGCCAATGTGGACTGAAATACCCATGGCTTTACTGGAAACTGGGATTTTTCCAATGTGAGCATGGATTAATAAGTGCCTCATCCACACTGGGTTTTTTGATCATTCCCTAAGGTAATAATTATTTTACTTTGAAATGTGAAGGATTAACTTATTTATTTGTGATGAATGTCATGCACCACTCTGATTTTCTGAAGTTAAAAAAGACTCACTTTACCTGAACATAGTAATGCCTAATTATTTCTTGAATATAGTAAAAAAATGGTATAATTACATAGGTTTTTTTTTTACAGGCAGGATTGCAATTCTAGTAACAAGCAGGATCAAGCACCAAAGAAGGAATGGATGCTGCATTAATTAAATTACCAGTCCAAGGAATGTAATGAGAACAACCATTTCTATAGTTCAACATCAATAGGATCTTGGATTCCAAAATGCTCTGATGGACAAATTTATTCAATCCCATGTAGACAATACACTTCAGATCAGACCTGATGACTTCAAGTTTTTAGTAAAATTAACCATTCTTTCCAGAACAGCCAAAACAGACGGAACCTGAATATAGACCATTTCTCCCAATTATTCCATAATGCATTACCTGTGACAATAGTTAAGCATAGGCCTTCGAAAACCAGCCAAGCAGGACAAATGTATCTAAACCAGCTATGAAGAACAAATGGTTTCCAGAACAGTTCAGCTGAATAGAAATTTGCTGAACAGCTTAATGTTCAGAGAACAGTTGATATGGATGAATCTTTCTAGAACCGCCTTGAAGACCAATTCTTTCCAGTTTCGCTTTGATGGACACATCTTCCTACAGCTGTCCAAGTGGATGCACAAAAGGGTCCAGAACAGCCCTGGTGGAGGAAACTTTCCAGAACATCTTAAGAGCCAAATTTTCCAGAACAGCCCAGATCGACAAATCGTTCCAGAACACTCAAGATTGATGAATCCTTCCAGAACACCCCACATCGACGAATCCTTCTAGAACATCCCAGATTGATGAATCCTTCCAGAACCGCCCTGATGAACAAATCCATTTAGTTGCGCTCTGATGGACGAATATTTCCAGAACAGTTCTGATGGCCGAATCTTCACAAGCTTATGAGTCAAATTTTCCAGAACAGCCCAGATTGACTGATCTTTCCACGGACGAATCTTTTCAGTTCCGCTCTGATGGACAAATTTTCTCAGAACTGCTCTGATGAAAAAATCTTTGGACAACTACCCAGGTGGATGCACATTCGGTTCCTGAATAGCCTGATCAACGAATGCTTCCAGAACAGCTCAGATAGACGAATATTTCGAGAACAGTCCTGATGGGAATCTTCCCAGAACATCTCATGATCCAAACTTTCCAGAACAGCCCAGATTGACGAATAAGTCCAGAACCGCCCTGATGAACAAATCTTTTCAGTTCCACCCTAATGGACGAACTTTTCCAGATCTGCACGAATGGACAAAGCCTGAAGCTTTTCACAACTTTTCAGGTGGATGCACAAGTGATTCCAAAACAGGCCAGATGGACAAATATTTTCACAATAGTCATGAGAAGAACAGCTCACCATGAGCCACACTTTCCAGAACACTCTAGGAATTCTTCCAGATCAGTCTAGATAAGCAAATCTTTTCAGATCAGTGGAAAAGGAAGAATATTTCCACAACAGCCAAGCTAGATGATTCTTTTCAGATTATCCATGCTCAAATTGACCATTCTCTTCATCTGGGTAATATGAACAGCTCCATCAGATGGGCTAATACCAGATTAGCCATAATGGGCGAATCAGCTTGGATTGAGAAATGTTCCCAGAACAGCTCATGAGACAAACTTTCGAGAACAGCCCAGGCTGAGAAATCTTTTCCAGAACTGCCCTGAAGAACGAATCTTTCTAGAACCATCCAGATGGAGCAATTTATTCAGAACAGCGCAGATAGAGGAATCTTCTCAGAAGAGCACAGATTTACTAAGCTTTCAAGAACAGGCCAGATGAACAAATCTTTTCAGATCCACCCAGATCTTCCCACAACCATCCAGATCTTCCCACCATCGCCCAGATCTTCCCACAACCATCCAGGTGGGACAATTCTACCCAGAAATGCTGTCTTTCCTTCAGTAAATTGACCAGAACCCTGGATTTGTATTTGTATCTGTATCCTCTGCATGGCAGAACGAAAGATTCAGTTTTATCAAGGCAAAAAGGTAATTATTATTTTTATGACAAGATCCTTGTAATAATAATGTCCTATCCAAACCTCATTTTCTGAAGTCGTAACTTTTTCTGAATTCAGTAACATATAAATGCAATGCTCCCAGAACCATCCTTATAGATTAATCTGGCCAAAACAGCTCAGATAAATAATTTTTTCCAGGTCAGCTCTGATGAACCAAACATTCAAGATTCAAGAACCGTCCAGATGAACAAACCTTTTCAAATCGGCCCAGAAAGATAAGACTCCTAGAACAGTCCAGATGTAAGAATCTACCCAGAATCGCCCAGTCTACCCAGAATCGCCTAGGCTACCCAGAATCGCCCAGTCTAAGATGGATGGATCTTGTGGGGTTTTCTGATTGACTAATCATTTTTGACCTTTTTGGTTCAGAATGACTAGTTTTTTCAGTGAATGGACCAGAACCTTCGATATGTAGCTGAGAATGCCAGGAGGGGTGAACTTCGAGACAGCTCAACCACAACGTCAGAAAGCAACTTTATCAGCCTGAAAGACACAATGAACGTTTCAGGAACCCATGTAGAGAGGACCGCCTTGTGAAAAAGAACAGCAGCGACAGATTTAGATGATTGGGCTATGGTTTGGAACAATCGGAACCTCAGTAGACGCAAAAGTTGCGATACAAAAAAATCTGTTTCCTCTGTGTGGTAAAATAAAAGATTCAATTTCATCGAAAGACGCCATATTTTTTCGTTGGGTCCAGATACTCCGTTTTAAAAAGGAGGGCAGGGCGTTTGGAAGAGCGTTCGCACCAACGTGGTGCCGATGTTAGAATATAGTGTCTGATTTTCGGAATCTGTAATTTCTTATTTCTCTACACAAGATTCGAGTTTCCGTCGCATCTCTACTCCGCATCTGATTTGAGTTTTTAGCCAGCCACTCTTCAGCAGAAAATTGCAGCAAAAAGGTAATAATAATTGTTTTTGATAACTACATAGTTCCTAGTTATAAATGTCTTGAGCGATCTTAATCTTATGGAGTAATGAAGTCTAGCTTTCCCTAATATATATTATTAGCAGCATTTATACTTGGCTATTTAATTTTCAATTAATTTTTATTGAAGCCTTACTATACTATAAAGTTACTTAATTGTGTATTATTTTATTGCAGAGAAGAATGAGATGTTGGAGGAAGATTGGGAAAAATTACTGTTGTTACTAGGCAAGGCACAAATAAAAAGGTAATAGGTTTAGCAATAAGAAAATTTTGAAAATAATAGGTCATAATATGGAAAAAAAAATTAATAGGTAATTTTCTTTTTGTTATAGGTAAGACGTGGGTGTGACTTATAATCCTACCAAAGTTCCAGAGGAAGAAATTTTGTTTGCTTGTATTTTATTTAGTAGTGTGAGAACTTTGTAATTTTTTCATTGAAAAAATAGAAAATTTTCAAGTCTGAATAAAAGAAGTAAACTGTAAACTATTAGACTTTTTGATTATTTGATTGTTAAAACGTCCTCATTCCCATTGTATCAATAATTTACCCTCAAGTAAACGATCTTCTTAATGGAAATCAATTTGGGTTTAGAAAAAAGCACCATTTTGGGAGTCCTTCATTTCATGTTTGATATTATGGATGCTTTTGATGGACTCTGCTATAATACGGTTTTGTTTTGTGATCTCGGCAAAGCTTTTGACTGTGTTGACCATCGAATTCTTCTGCGCAGTAATGGTAGCCTTTAACTTTTATAGTCCTATCTACTTAATCTACGACCTATTTACAATAGTGTGACGTCAGCAGGGCAGAACATAAAAATAGGAATAACTCAAGGATATTCATTCTACGTCTAATATTTCTGCTGATGACACGACGGACTCTGTGTTGGCGGACTGCCTTGAAGCTTCATTGTGGGGTTCTTTCAATGGCTGGATGCTAGTGTTAAACAAAAGCAAGACGGAGACGAAGGTGTTTGCTCTAAGAGAGATTGGAACAGTAAATGACCAGGTTCCTTGGGGTTCTTATTGACCCAAAAACACAATGGTGAATACACATTCAGGTTGCATAGCCTCAAAGCTAAACCGAAATCTGCTACGTCGTCTTGCAGAAAATGTATTCTCAATGGTACTAAAAACTGCTTTTTCTGTAACTTTTTAGACACAACTTTCCTATGCTGTACTATGAGGTCATGCCTCAGGTGCTCAGCAGTTGTTTGCAGAAAGAGTGAAACAAATTCTAATTTTAAGCAAACTAGCCCAAGTTATGCAAAAAAAGTTGACTTGTGAAGTTTCTATTCTGTTTGGCAAAGTATTCGTGAAATTTTTGTTTCAACCAACAGACAGCAAAGGTGCAAACCCAACATTCGATGTTAGACTGCTTGCTCATTTAAAGCTAAATTAGTTGTTGCTAGGTTTCCTCAAATAATTTTTCAAAAGTTTTAATTACACAATTTATTCTCTACTCTATCATTACAATCAGAATCATCCGCTGGTCGTTTTCTTTTGCCTTGATTCTTGACGCTTCTTGTCATTTTATCTTGGCCCACCCTAACGAAAAAACAATAGTTAAGCATAAAATAATGATTATCCACAAGGATACTCACATTGCTTGTGAACGAGACCCAGGGCCCCAAAAAGGCATTGGATTTGCTTGGAACCTGACCAGGCCCTTTTGTTTTGACTCTGGATTAGCTTCCGGATGTATGTCAAACAAATATTCTCGCTGCGGTGCCTGCTGCAACACTGTGGAAGCTACTTTATTCCCTTCGATGCGCTTCTTCGATGCTGGATGCAGCTTTTCCCAGCACCGCATTATGTCCCATACTACTCTCGCAGGCGCGTCAGTCTTAATTGAAGTCTTGTTAGCGTGAGTGTAGGAGACTCTGAAGCCCGCATTCAAAATGGCTGACCTTACTGCCATCATGGAGGGAGTTTCAACTTTGATGGTTCCAGCAAGGCGCTCTAGGGTGTAGTAAAGAGGTACGTCGACAAGCTCTTCCGAGATGACACTTAAAACTCCTTGAATACGTTTGTAGGTGCCCAATCCGGGTGAAGCCGAGGTCAGGACTTCTTTTACAAAAGTTGGATGGTGAATCGGAGCTGACCAAATTGGTCCGCCAATCTGAAATTTTTAAAAAAATAGTGAGTTTAACAATTTGAAAATCCTCTTCAGTAAATAGTGAGCTTTGCTTTATAGCATTTATGGAAGAATCCTAATTACTTTTGGGAGTTAGAATTCACTTTTAAACAATCTTCGCTGGATGCAAACTCTTTCAAGTTATAATAAATTGAGTGAAGTTAACATACATTATTTATTATTTGTTATTATTATATTATATGAAGCGATATAGTCCACAACATGTTGAACCTAATATCTAGATCATGAGAGAAAACAGTAGCCATCACAATAAGGCTATCTCCTTCTGTTGTACCCTGACACATTTTTTCAATTTGACGACATTGGGCGGGTTCGTTCCGTAGTGTAGAAGTCATACTGGCTACTCCGTTGATAATGAATTCGAATTTGAATTAACTAAACCACCATCTGCTGGATTTGCAGTTCAGGCACTAGTGCTAATGAGCTAGGATTCTAGGAAGCAACACTTACATGATAAGAACCTCCACAGTGTTCACATTTGCTGGAAACAGGAGGTCCAGTAGGCAAACAAAACTTAACCAACTTGTCGTTTTTCTCGTGCGGTTTTGTTACTCCGAGGGGCTGTAGCGCAAAACTGTCGCATCCAGTGCAATGGTAGACGTGAGACAATTTACTAGAAAAAAAGGAAAATTAAAAAGCTTACACTTCAATTAATGAATATATTGATCTCACCTTATAGTGTGTTTACATTTCTGCGCCCCATGAAACACTTTGACGAATACTCGGACGTAGAAATCGGCAGACACCGACAATAGAGGCTCTATGTAGCGACCGTATCGGTTAGCGTGCGACTCTATACACTGCAACAAAATTCTCAGGGCCATTTCGTGACAGCACTTCATCCGCAAAGAAACCGCCCCGTACTTTACGTAGCAAGTTTCCGGAGTGTTGCCTGCCAAAATGGCCATATCGGTCGCCGTCACCAGCAATAGCCCTCCATTTTTGATGGATTGTACCGCAGAGTCCAGAAATATCGATGGACAACCGTACGGGTCTAAATCGATGACATCGAATGAATCCTTTTTGTGTTGGTACATTAACATGCTGAAATTTAGGAGAACCGTTTTCAAATGCTTTTTTTTTGTACAACTCTGAAGATTGTAGAGCATAAATAGCAACTCGTCAACTGACTAAGCACTCTTTGATGTTTGAAAGCAAAAAGATTTTTAATCACTTGCCCGCCCATCTTCGGAACATATCGTCTATAAAAGTGTTCAGACGATCTTTAAAGAATTCACTGATCAGTAAGGCCTACTACGATCTAGGTGAGTTTTACGCGGATGCATTGTGATTTGCCTTTACTGTTGGTCCACAAGTTTTTTTAGAGTGTATTTTTTATAGGTATTTGTTTTGTTGGATGAGGAATAATCATTTTTAACAATAGTACAATGGTGCTAGTTTAGGTTTCAATTTTCATACTTTTGTTTTTCTAATTTTATTTATTTTTTCTGTTCATTAGTTCATTTGTAGGTATTTTTTAGATCTAAGTACCTACATAGGTATGACTTATAATTTTTAGATTCCAGTTAACATGCTTTGTCAACGAATATTAAGTTTTTTTTTTCAGCAATGAAGCACATTTTGATTTGATTTGATAGATACCATACATTATAAAAACTAAAATAAAAGCCTTGAAGAAATTTGAACTCATATTACCCAAATTAGAGAAACATGAAATAAAAGTTCATAATAGAAGATAATAGCATACATAATAGTGAGGAATATTTCAGATAGATAATAGTGTATCAGAGTACTATCAAAATTGTAGAGGCTTAAAGAGGAAGTTATAGTTATTTATGTATCAAGGGTACTAAGTAGATGATTATGCCCCGAGGGCGACAGTCTTACAAAGCCGAGGGCCTCTGGCCCGAGGGTTCGTACGTTGCCCGAGGGTATATATCTATTAGTACCCGTGGTGCATACAAACTTTTATGTCATGCCTGCGCGGGCCATAATGTGTACTTTATGACCGCACGGGCATAAAGTAATGAATTATATAGATGGTATCTAAGGTATAAAAACACAATAATGTACTGGTATGACATAAAATCAATTAAAACCTCCTCCTAAGTAGTAAATCAACGATGCTACAGCTTTCATGGAAAACTGGTTAACTAATTCAATTTATTCCTCAGAATTTTATGATAATGACAGGATTATATTTAAAAAGGATATGCGTTCAATAATAACGGGAAAGAAACAAGGGTTAGTCTTTCTAATGTAAAAATCTCCTAAGGCTACTGAGGTAGATATGTTTGACGATGGATGATCCTCAGGATAATCAGGAGGTGCGTTCAAATTAAATTAGAAAATAAATGGTCTTTGTATTTGGTGATATTCTATATTGTTCCAGATGGTCCAAATGTTGAAACTTTTATGAAAGAATAGAAAGCAGCATTGTTAATAGATATAATTCCAAAGTTATTGTTTTGAGTGACCTGAATATGCCTGGGTACATCAGTGAACTATCATGCAATGATATGGTTAATAGTTTCAGGACGTTCTTGGCTTTTAATGGCTTGAGCCAATGCAAAAAATTTGGAAAAGCAGATACATAATATCATTGCTTCTTTTGAGAATATATCGGTGGCCTGTGCAGAGGAAATGTGTTTTTTTACTGAATTGTATATATTTATGTTTGTTTATGTTGAGATTCATACTGTCCTTTTTGCAATTTACACCAATTCTAAAAACGCATGAGATCTTTTTGTTTTCAATTACTTTATATACTCACATATTTTGAAGTAATTTGCATACAACAATACCAATAATGTTTTGCTGGCTCAAGTTCGTCGAACTTAAAATTTCTTCTTAAAGCATTTGATTAGCATTTGATGTTCCATGTACTGATTTTCGATTCTGCTTACTTAAGAGATGTTAGGAAACAAGGTTTGGGAAAAGTGGATAAATGCCTTACCTACTTGTGGAAATACACAGACCTTAAAAAAAATACCTAACTGAATTTTTTCAATATTTTCTGAGTGAACTGTCGTTATAGGATTCCGAATAACACTTGCATACTCACGCGTTAATCTTACATACGAATTAAATAGTAAAAACTGAATGTTCACTGTTTTAAAGTTCCGACAAATTCTCAAGACAAATCCCAATTTCTTCAGGCACTGCTCACATAACACTCTGATATAAGGTAAATGCACTAGTAATTGACACAATTAGACTGTCTTATAGAATTTAAATGTATCTTTGGGGACCCAGTAATTGACACCTATTATCCAATTATTGACACCCCAGTTATTGACACATTTTTTTTTTTTCTCAGTACATGAGTATATAAAATGAGTAATAATACGCCACAGCTGCTAGAACTTCATTCATCTGCTCTTTGGAGTAACTTTTTTTGATGTTGTATCAGTAATGAATGAAATTCCAGTAATTGACATCCTGTGTACCAATAATTGACACCCTGTGTACGTTCTGTGCTGTGTACCAATAATTGACACCCTGTGTACCAATAATTGACACCAATGTCAATAACTATGGAACCAGTGATTTTTTCAAACTCATATGTTGTCAGATATGTCGTGCTCATAATAAGATGTAATCGTTCTGTCAAATATTGCACTGTTTTGCTGTGATTGCGTTAAATTTATTATGAGATCCATTAATTGATACATCATTCAATAATTGGTACATGGTCATAATCACTTGATCCAGTCTTTGACACCCACGCCAATCTCAGATAATGTGTTTTACTAATAAATACACATTAAAAAACCTTTCAATCATTCTTAAACTTTGCCCTCAAACATATGGAATAAATTAAACATAGATACATTTAGCAATAAAAAATAATATTTGATTTGTTTGCCTTAACAAACCTCTTAATTTTTCTCATCCAACAGGTAACCGGCCTTTTCACATTTTTATGAATGACTAGCAGATATCATCTGATTTCTTTCATAGCTCCATAGCTGGTAGAATGTTGCCAAATACTGATATTAATGAAGTTTTTTTTATCGAGATGGCTCTGGGACGTCGAGATAGCTTGTTTTGATAACATTTACCTTTACATGTCAATCACTGGAGCACTGTCAATAACTGGTACATGATACATTTACCTTAGATATAATCATTAAAAAAAAATATATGACTGATTGTTGTCGTGAAGAATTGCAAAATGTTTCCTTTTTTTCTCTACTCTATTGCTGGATACTTAAGTAAATAAACTCGTAAATAAATAAATGAATAAATGTTCAAAAACCATAGTTCACCTCTTTTGTTCAACATTTTTGTAAATGACATTGCTGACTGTTTCTTGGGGAGCGATTGTTCCATGTTTGCCGATGATCTCAAGTTTTGGAGGATCATCGAAAGTACTTCTGATCAATTACTCCTTCAGGAAGACCTGAATCGTCTATCAGATTGGTGTCAAAAAAACAAGCTAAACCTAAACGTAAAAAAATGTTGTTACATAAGTTTTTTTAGGTAAACCTGACAGGATCATGACTGACTACCATATCAGTGATCAACGGCTTGAATATAAATCTTCACTTAGAGATTTGGGTGTTATTTTTGATGAGAAACTTTTGTTTGTTGAGCATATAAATTCAGTCTCTATCAAAGCTTCAAAAATGCTGGGGTTCGTCATAAGTATTTTTCTATCGAAGCCATCAGAATGATCTATTGTTCCTTGGTAAGATTATTGCTTGAGTATTGTTCAGTTATATGGTCCCCATTTTATCAAAACCATTCTGATTCTTTGGAGAGGGTTCAGCATAAATTTCTACGAGTGTGTGCCTTTAGAAACAGTATTGGGATTGTGAACCATGACTATAGCGCCATAGAAATGCAATTAAAATTACCTACTCTAAGCGAGCGACGAGACTTGTTTGGCTTAATATTTTTATATAAAATAATTAATGGAATTATTGATTGTCCTACCCTTTTAAGCCATATTAGCCTAAATGTGCCTTATTATCATGGTCTGAGATATCATAATACTTTTAACATTCCTTTTTGTAGAACATCCTATGGCGCTAACAGTCCAATTATCAGATATCTATCTATGTTGAATAATCTTGATATTGACGTTTTAAATGTGAAACTAGCTCAATTTAAAACAATCTGCCATAATAATGTGATAAATGTACCTTAACTATTTATAACTCTCTGTTCCTATCAAAGCTACTATAATACCTAATACCTAGTACTAAGTAATAATTTCCTACTTAAATGTGCTACATACGAATTAAATAGTAAAAACTGAATGTTCACTGTTTTAAAGTTCCGACAAATTCTCAAGACAAATCCCAATTTCTTCAGGCACTGCTCACATAACACTCTGATATAAGGTAAATGCACTAGTAATTGACACAATTAGACTGTCTTATAGAATTTAAATGTATCTTTGGGGACCCAGTAATTGACACCTATTATCCAATTATTGACACCCCAGTTATTGACACATTTTTTTTTTTTCTCAGTACATGAGTATATAAAATGAGTAATAATACGCCACAGCTGCTAGAACTTCATTCATCTGCTCTTTGGAGTAACTTTTTTTGATGTTGTATCAGTAATGAATGAAATTCCAGTAATTGACATCCTGTGTACCAATAATTGACACCCTGTGTACGTTCTGTGCTGTGTACCAATAATTGACACCCTGTGTACCAATAATTGACACCAATGTCAATAACTATGGAACCAGTGATTTTTTCAAACTCATATGTTGTCAGATATGTCGTGCTCATAATAAGATGTAATCGTTCTGTCAAATATTGCACTGTTTTGCTGTGATTGCGTTAAATTTATTATGAGATCCATTAATTGATACATCATTCAATAATTGGTACATGGTCATAATCACTTGATCCAGTCTTTGACACCCACGCCAATCTCAGATAATGTGTTTTACTAATAAATACACATTAAAAAACCTTTCAATCATTCTTAAACTTTGCCCTCAAACATATGGAATAAATTAAACATAGATACATTTAGCAATAAAAAATAATATTTGATTTGTTTGCCTTAACAAATCTCTTAATTTTTCTCATCCAACAGGTAACCGGCCTTTTCACATTTTTATGAATGACTAGCAGATATCATCTGATTTCTTTCATAGCTCCATAGCTGGTAGAATGTTGCCAAATACTGATATTAATGAAGTTTTTTTTATCGAGATGGCTCTGGGACGTCGAGATAGCTTGTTTTGATAACATTTACCTTTACATGTCAATCACTGGAGCACTGTCAATAACTGGTACATGATACATTTACCTTAGATATAATCATTAAAAAAAAATATATGACTGATTGTTGTCGTGAAGAATTGCAAAATGTTTCCTTTTTTTCTCTACTCTATTGCTGGATACTTAAGTAAATAAACTCGTAAATAAATAAATGAATAAATGTTCAAAAACCATAGTTCACCTCTTTTGTTCAACATTTTTGTAAATGACATTGCTGACTGTTTCTTGGGGAGCGATTGTTCCATGTTTGCCGATGATCTCAAGTTTTGGAGGATCATCGAAAGTACTTCTGATCAATTACTCCTTCAGGAAGACCTGAATCGTCTATCAGATTGGTGTCAAAAAAACAAGCTAAACCTAAACGTAAAAAAATGTTGTTACATAAGTTTTTTTAGGTAAACCTGACAGGATCATGACTGACTACCATATCAGTGATCAACGGCTTGAATATAAATCTTCACTTAGAGATTTGGGTGTTATTTTTGATGAGAAACTTTCGTTTGTTGAGCATATAAATTCAGTCTCTATCAAAGCTTCAAAAATGCTGGGGTTCGTCATAAGTATTTTTCTATCGAAGCCATCAGAATGATCTATTGTTCCTTGGTAAGATCATTGCTTGAGTATTGTTCAGTTATATGGTCCCCTTTTTATCAAAACCATTCTGATTCTTTGGAGAGGGTTCAGCATAAATTTCTACGAGTGTGTGCCTTTAGAAACAGTATTGGGATTGTGAACCATGACTATAGCGCCATAGAAATGTAATTAAAATTACCTACTCTAAGCGAGCGACGAGACTTGTTTGGCTTAATATTTTTATATAAAATAATTAATGGAATTATTGATTGTCCTACCCTTTTAAGCCATATTAGCCTAAATGTGCCTTATTATCATGGTCTGAGATATCATAATACTTTTAACATTCCTTTTTGTAGAACATCCTATGGCGCTAACAGTCCAATTATCAGATATCTATCTATGTTGAATAATCTTGATATTGACGTTTTAAATGTGAAACTAGCTCAATTTAAAACAATCTGCCATAATAATGTGATAAATGTACCTTAACTATTTATAACTCTCTGTTCCTATCAAAGCTACTATAATACCTAATACCTAGTACTAAGTAATAATTTCCTACTTAAATGTGCTTTCATAATTGGTTAAATGCATAATTTGTTAAACTTTTCGACTACTTCATAATTTTTAGACTATTTATGTTTACTTTCTGATTTTGGTTAATTTTTGCTTATTTTTTGAGTTTGTATTTATTGTTTTTGCACTCGTTTCAAAACCTATTGTTAGGTGACATTTTGCTCTATTTATTTATATACATTTATAATGATATAGATTGTTATTTAGGTCTAGTGTTTATGTTTGCCTGGCCTTTGTTAATTATTGTATAATTTCTTCTTTAATGGGGTTATCCCGTAAATAAATAAATAAATAAATAAATAAAAAACAGACTGGAGTATTGGACAGTGAAATACATAGATGAAACAGCTGAACGGGGTAGGTTATTTGTGCACTACCTAAAGATGCCATTTTGCGACCAATCAGGGCCAAGAGGTCTTGTTTATGTTTCAAAGTTGACAATATCAAAATCTATCTTGGGAAAAAAAAGGACCATAAATTGGGTTAGTTTGGGTTTTTGTATATGATTATTTGATGCATGACTCATGCAATATTCTTATCGGTTTACTTTCACCACCTAGTATTGTAGTGTAGACCCATAATAATATTATTAATAATACCTCGAATAATACCTTAAATGTTTAATTTCTGTTGGTGTGAGTTCACAAGTTTTTAATAAATAAGATAAATGAGTATTTTTCACTTACGTAGCATCATTTTGACTGGCTTCAATTAAATCTTCCACATTATTCAATTTGATATTACTGTTGATATCCTGAACAGCCCTGGCAGAAATATCATTTGCAATTATCTTGTTGATGCCAGGAATTTCTTTGGCATACCGTATGCTCCTCAATCCTGTGGCACTTAGGGCTTCCAGAATCGAAATTCCGGCTTCGCATTTGACACCAGGTTGTGTGCATAGTTGGTCTTTGAGCAGTTGCCTTGTGTAAGTCGATATTACGCTTATGCTGCAAAAAAAAAATGAGGCCCACGATTGAGGCAATTGAAAGGGTAATCGAAGAGCTTACCTCAAATCTCTATTGAACTCCTGTACAGGATTGTAGAAGACTTTTCCTGTCGTTTGCACTTCGGCGAGACCTTCGCTGATTTTTTGGGGTTCTGGTTCGCTCACGTTTTCAGGTTCCTGGTTGCTCATTTTTAGGTCTGGAAATTAGTCTGTTGGGACTTATTCGAAGCAAATTTGTAGGGGCACTGCTATCTAGGTACTTACCCTTAGATTATTCATAAAAATAAATAATAAAAACTAAAAAATTAAATACTTTAAAGTTAGGTTAAAATAAGAAGAGAAAAATAATAAATAAATAGTTTTCACGATTAGAGTTGTCTCTCTCTTTTACATCATGCAATAGAAAAGGACAAACGAGACATTACTTCAGTTAAATCTTCCCACGTGTCATTTTGAAAGAGACGTCAAGTCAACGTCATAACGAAATTGAAACAACAACAATAACAATTTCCTTCCTTGTTTTTGTTTGTGAATGTGTTGTTTCTGTTTGTGGCTTTTCTTTAATATTTTATATTTTGTTTATTCCAACAATATTTAATTCTTGGTAGAAATTAAAAATAATAAAAACTGGAATAATGTCAGAAAGTGATAAGGTTGAAGTTGGGGAACTTTGTAAGTTTATATTCAAAAAACGTACTGTTAAATGCCAGGGTATGAGGAAACGACCATCAAATTCTAGCTCTGAAGAAGGTAAGCAAATGGAAACGTTTTTTTGAGGACAATAGGTAATTGAAGTATTCTCGGGGTAGGTACCTCAGGGTCCTCAGGTCATATTTTACCATTATTTCAAAATTAAATCGCCATCAAAGCATATCAGACCAGTAGACACAACACTATTGTATCAATTGTATTGAAACATTATGTTTTAAAAGTGAAGAGGTATAATACACTGGGCCTATAATAAAACTAACATACATATTTTAAATTTTGCACCCCATTTTGCACTGTACAAATTTAAATAGAACATTCTAATAGTCGGTGAGAGAAATTGAGACAAAAAGAGTCAGTATTACCATTCAATTTAGGCTCGTATTTAGGTATCATGGTAATCATGGTACATAAAGTATCACATTTTTTATCACATCATTAATTTGTCAATTTACACAGTCTTGATATGAATGCAGATCATAGTTTGTTTGGTGAAAATTAATATAAAAAAGCCGACTATTTATAGGATTATTAGGAGATATGTGTAGAGTGTAGACCAATATCTGCAAGTAATTCAGGGGTCTCTCTATTATTTAAGATTTTATGCAACAAACAGATGTCAAAAAAGTTTCTCCTACTCTCCAAAGATGAAAAGTTTAACAATTTCCTAATTTCTTTACAATAAGCTAATATTTTCAAATGAATATTTAAGTCAAATCCTATTTTTTTGAGAAACTTATTTTGTACTCTGTACTCTCTCTATTTTTTCTTAATGCACACCATAATATGGTTGCCACACAGTACTTCCATACTCTAGGATGGATCAAACCTGATCTCAATAAACATCTCCTATTGTAAAAAACTAGGTAAAAACATCATTAAAACCTTTAAGAGTTCTAAGCACAAACCCCAGTAACCTCACTGCCTCGCTCATTGCTCTATTTATTATTCTATCTATATGTTTTGGAAAGGTTAACTCGCTGTCTAGAGAGATGCCAAGGTCGTTAATTAGGGGTTGTCTCCGAGGTTGTCTCTCCAACTCCAATTAATCAAGTGTATAATCAAAAACAATAGGACCCTGAGACATACTGAATAAGATAACAGTACAATTTTGAATGTTTAAAGTCAAATTTTTCAATTCACACCAAGCAGTAAATCTATTTAAATCTTCCTGCAAGAAAATACAATCTTCAATGGATTTAATTGAGTATCTTGAAAAGTTTCAAATCATCAGCAAATGCAAGAAACATACTAGATTTAAATACATGTTCAACATTATTTGAAATACAAAAAGAAGTGCAAGAAGAAGTGTAGACAGCTGTCCACCCTTGGCAATACCAGAAGTAACTTCCACTTCTGAAGAGATATACTCTCGGATATACTTAATTGTTCATTTTAACAGATTGTTTTCTGGCTGTTAAATTACCCTGAAACTCGCCCTGAAACCACCTTATTAAAATGCCATGTACACCAGCAGCCTCCAGCTTTTCTAGCAGAATTTTATGATTAACTTAATTCAAAGCCTTAGAAAAATCTGTATAAATTGCATCAACTTGATACCTATACCCAAAAACTTCCAACCGAGCTTCCAACAAAGCCTGCTCATAAGAAGATTTGTAATGGTGGATCTTCCCTTCATGAAACCATGTTGTCCATTGATAATGATATTCTTAAAATGTGGGGTCAAAAGTCAAAATCAAAATCAAAAAATGCTTTATTATATAAAGAGCAACAAGCCCTCATTTACAAAGCTGAAAAAAAATCTAATAGCTAAATATAAGGTTAAAAACTATCAATACACAAAAGAGAAACAAATGGCTAAAACAAGGCCTAAACTAACACACAGAAATAAATAGTATCAAATAAGAGTGCCTGTATAAAATTCGTCCACATTTTGATACACCTTGTCAACTGGTATTTTTTTAAGAGTCTTTTTAGATGACCTTAGTGAATTTATATTTCTGATGCCTAACGATAAATGGTTAAATATTTTTAGACTGTCGTAAATTAAAGATTTTTTTGTTAAGGTTTTGTGGGTATTGGCAAGGGCAAGTCAAGAGCCCGCCGCGTTTCACGCTGAAATGCAGGGACCCTGATATTTGTCCGGTTCTTATATTTAAGACTGCATGTCTCAAGAATAAATAATGAGGTAACTGTTAATATTTTGAGAGAACGAAAGTAGTATCACCCTTTTTTTGAAGAATAAATATAAGGTTGAGCAGGTATTGGCTACTAAGCCCCCAGAATAGAATCCCATAACTCAAGTGGGACACGAAAAGTGCAAAATAAACACTCCTGGCCACCTCAGGACCCAGCTTCATGCTAGCAATACTGATTGCAAAACAAACAGAAGAAAGTCTTTCACTTAAAGCCAGTATATGATTCTCGAAACGCAAGTCCCCATCAATGACCAATCCCAAAAACTTGTAGAAATCCCTTTCCTGAAGTGAGACACTTGCCATCCTTCAAAGATAGTCTGTTAGAATTGCACCAGTCTTCAATTTTAATCAAGTCTGCAGATATATTTTCCATAAGGCAACTTGACGATTTATTATGCCAAATGATGGAGGTATCGTCGGCAAAAAGTGTGAACTTGCCAGAAGTCTGCACATAAACAAGGTTGGTAATATAGTAAGAAGTGGACCTAGTACAGATCCCTGTGGAACCCCACAGCCGATGCTCTGCACCTGAGACTTAGTGTCCGATAAAATTCTACCAGCGTTTAGTCTTGCACTGAGGGGTAGCAGTGGTAAAAACACTATTTACAGCCTCATGATCCGACAATCCTGCATTCAAGGTATAGCAGTTCACTTTATCAAAATTGGAGCACGCATAATCGATCGTGGTTGAAGATCTGAGACAGAAGTCTCTCAACAATACCCTTAAAAACTTTGGCTACCAATAAGGAGTGTCTGACTTGTCTCCATTTTTAATGACTAGAGTAATGTAGGATTTTTTCCAGGCTGCTGGATATGTACCAGTAGACAATAACAAATTAAAAATATCACACAGAACTTGAAATAGAACAAATCTGCAGCCTTCTAGGAAAACAGCAGCTATGCCATCTGGCCGTTGGCCCAACACCCAGACTCTGCTTTAACTTGCAAATTCTATCAAAAACATCAAGTGAAGATTGCCCCAGTCCAAGGTCAACCATCCTCTCCCATTCAAAGAAAACTCCCTCAGAATTGTCTGTCAAATACCAATGCAAAATGTCTATTGAACATGTCAACTATATCCCGTGGATCATTACACTCCCTCCCATGGAGATTCACCAAGGACATTCAGACTATTTCCAATCAAAAATCAAACAAAGTCGGCATCTTTTTGTAATTTTTAGTTTTTTTTTCTCTTTGCCATTTTTCTTGTTTTTCCTCATTGTCTCATTTTTTTTTTCCGTAACTTATTTCTCAATTTTTTCTTTATTGCTAACTTATTTCTCATGCGATTAAAAAAAAAAAGAAATATTAACACTTTCAATACAGCCTCGAATACAGCTCTCAATGCAGCTCCAATGATAGTTTCAAGTCAAAAAAATGTTTTCTCAAATTTCCAACTTTTTTTTATGAACTCGCACAACTTCACCACTCAAACATTTTTCTCAAACAAAAAAAAAATATGTAATAAAACTTCCGAGAAAATCTCCCTCAATCGTTTTTTTGGAACTTTAATTTTTTCCAAAATAGCACCATCAACACATATGTATTAGGTCTGTTCGGACAGCAATAATAAATCAGTCAGAGCGAATTTCATTGGTGGAAAGTCTTTAGTTTCAACCGATGATATTGACTCTGACTGGTTTGTGATTAGCCCTTTAATGTCGTTTTGTGAAAAGTTGATTTTTCCCAAAATAATATTAACAGATATTTTGCCTTACAACTTTGTTAATTTCAATCCGATCTCAACGTAATAAGGCTCAAATCAGAGCCTTACTAAATGCTCTAGAAATCTCAGATTTACAATTATTGCAATTCAGCTTCAATATGTAGTTTCTCACCTGTGAAGCTTCAAAGTCTTTTGAAGGTGAGCAAGTAAAAGAAAATATTTATTTCTTTTTCCTATCTTCTGATCTTCTTGTTGGTGATTTTCTTCTAGATTATGGATGTTTTAAAATCGAAATGTCTAAGCACTTGTTAAGCCTAAGTTTCCCTGCTGATACTCAAATGAACTTAAAGAACACATATTTCATAAAAAAATTGCCCATAAGAATTATAAAATTTCAAATACAGAAGCAAACTATAGTGTGTTTGCTCAGCTGAGAATAGCATGTAAGGAGTTAACAAATACCTAACTGCTATATAGAGTTTACATCTCCTTAGTAGAAGATTCAATAATCGATGACAATAAAGCTTTCTGGAAATTGGCACACCAAAAGAATGAATCATTTGAAGATACTCTAAATTTCTTTGCCGTTTTTTTTCTCTCTGTTTATAGTGATAAAAACTGTGATAATTATAACTTTGTTATTCCTAATGAGGTTAACATAGGAGTTCGTGATGTAAATGAGATTGATGTTTTTAATGCAATAATGAAATTAGGTAATCAATTAGGTGCGGGCCTTGATGGTGTCGCGGTAGGACTTTTAAAAAATTTGGTGTCATAAGTCTTGTGTAGGGTGTTCCGTCAAACTTTAAATAGCGGTAAATTTCATGAGACTTGGAAGCAGTCATATATAACACCAGTATTTCAAAGTGAAAGTGGAAACAAGTAGGAGGTTTTGAATTATAATCACCAAGTTCTGTTCATTCTCTAAATTGTTTGACTCTATTGTATACTCAAAATTAGTTCCCCAATTTCAGGGAATTCTAGTAGAACATCAGCATGGGTTTATCAACGACAGATCAACAGTTACAAACTTACTGGTATATGAACAGAGTCTAATACAGTCACTGGAAGCGAAACGACAAATCGACTCTATCTGATTTTAGCAAGGTTTTTGATAAAGTAAAAAGTAAATCATTAGGTCTTGATGGAAAAGTTGCAATCTTTGGTATTTTTTGGAAGTATGCTTGCTTGGTTTCGTAGTTATCTTGGAAATAGATGTCAGTTTGTTAAAATGAAGGGTGCTCTGTCAAGGAAAGTACATGTAACTTCCGGAGTACCTCAGGAAGCTCATCTGTCTCCATTACTGTTAAATATCTTTATCAATGATATCTGTACTGTTATACAACACTCTGATATACTTTTGTATGCAGATAATCTAAAGTTATATGAGTGTATTGAGTCTATGGAACATTCTGAAAAACTTTGGGAAGACATTGATCATTTGATTTCTTGGTGTGACCTAAATGAGATGGAATTTAATACAAAAAATGCAGAGTTATACGTTTTTATGGAAAAACATCATTCAGTTTGAGTACAGTATAAATAAAATCTTAAAGACAGTGGACTGTATAAAAATCTAGGCTTTTCCTTTGAAAGAGAACTTTCATTCAATAACCATATTAATTGGATAACTAGCAAGGTATTAAAAGTTTTAAGATTTGTTAAGCATACTCTGCAGGATTCAACCGATCCAAAATGTTTTAGGGTTTTAAACTGTGCTTATGTTAGGTTTGTTTTGGAGTATGCTTGTCAGGTTTGGTCACCTCATTATAAAATATATATAAGTACAGGAACTCGAAAAAGTCCAACGAAAATGTATTAGGATTATAGTAGTCCAAGAGCCGGCAATACTAACGGGTATGTGATCGTTGCAATAGATAATTTCTACATAAAACAATAGTTCATAGTAACCTTTAAACCAAATGGATGGGTTGCCTCGTTGCCACAATTTCATGTTTCTTTTTTTGTCTAAAGACCTACAGCGGTATGCAAAATCCTCTTCACAGAGTCCTCTTTTAACTATAAATGTGACTTTGAAGGCTGTCACTTTCAAAAATTTGTATTTAGCAAGCAAAATAACGCGTGCGCTCGACTTTCAATGAGGGTTGCCATCATCTCCGGCCATCAAAATCGAAGCCACCCTATGTATTATTTGAGAAGACATATTAAAGAATATATCTACCAATTTTCAGCTATTGGAACGATAACATTGTTCCTTCGGAAAAAGAGGGGTAGTTTACGCCCAGCCATCAAAGGGTTGCCGCCATGAGAATCGAGGCCACCCATCCATTTAGTTTAAAGGTAAACTATGAGCTATTCTTTTATGTGAAAATTATCCATTGCAACGATCACATACCCGTTAATATTGCCGGCTCTCCTACTATAGCTTATAAGATGAGTGCTAGTTGATCATATCAATTATACCGATATAATGAAACTTCTAAATATACCACCACTCGAACAACGAAGAATGTTTCTAGACCTATGTTTCTTACACAAATCAATTACTTATAATATTGATTGTCCTGATTTGCTGTTTCTTGTTAATAGTATGCAGCTTCACACAGCATAAGGAAGTTTTTTTTTTTTTTTAAATTTCAATCTTTTTTCTATCCACTGACCACTTGCAAAGTTTTAATCCAATCCCTCTGAAACATTCCTGAATCCTGAAAAACGTCTCTCAATGTCGTTTTTTAAAAATTTGATCTTTGTTAATTTGAATCTGATCTCAACATAGTTACCTATTTAGGATTAACATTATTAGGCTCAAATTAATATTATTATTAAAATTTAATTATAGATTCTGCCAAATCATCCACCACTAAGGAAAAGCATAGCATATCAAAAATTACGAGTTCGTCAAAAAAAAAGTTCAAAGCCAACCCAAACATTCAAACGTCAAGTGGAAAAAAGACGAAAGAAAAAGGAATCAGCGATTCAGACTCTTCCGACAATGATGTAATGGTTAGTTACAAGTCCAAAAGATCGGCAATGGCGGAAGGTCCTCAAGATCAAGGAGCCACGGCTATTTTAGAGATTGAAACAGAAAAAGACAGAGATGCTCAGGCGATTTTTCAAAAACAACTCGAAATTAATAAGGAATTAGAAGGGAAGGAAGATGATAAGGTTTATAGGGGGTTAAATAATTATCAGCAATTTTATAAGCCCAAGGATACTGCAGCTGGAAATGCTAGTTCAGGTAACAGTTCCTTCTCTTGGGTATTTTCAGGCTTTTTGAGATATTTTTTTAAGGTATGGTCAGGAAAGGTCCAATAAGAGCCCCAGACAATATCAGAACGACTGTGCGCTGGGACTACCAACCGGACATCTGTAAAGACTACAAGGAAACAGGTTTTTGTGGTTTCGGCGACAGTTGTAAGTTTTTGCATGACCGCAGTGACTACAAACATGGCTGGCAATTGGAAAGGGAGTGGGAAGAGGGTACATATGGCGCTGATAGTGACGATGACAAAAAATATGAAATCGACTCTGATGAAGACAAAGTTCCAGTCGAATGTGTAATTTGCAGGAAACGTTTTGTGGATCCTGTTGTGTCAAAGTAAGAATTTTGATACACAGGGTGTCCCACGACGTTTCTCCCAGGTGATAACTTCGGAACGCGTCATCCAATATAATTGAAATTTTGAGGATCTGGGTAACTTTTTGTGCCGCTTCTACCATTGTCATCCAATTTTACCATTTTTGCTTCAATTTCGGTCAAGTGACGTCAACTTTCGAATCTTAAATACAACTCATGGTATATTATGGTATTTTTCGTTAGAAAATTAAATTACAAAATCGGCTATGCCATATTTGTTGAGGCTTTGTTAAAGGATATGACAGAAAATTATACAGTGGAGCATACGATGATGCGTTCCGAAATGATCATTTGGGAGGAACCTCGTGGGACACCCTGTATATGTAAATAGCATTTTATATGATTTTGAATTTCAGATGTCAACATGTATTCTGCGAAAAGTGTGCCCTGGAGCACTACAAAAAAACGACCCGGTGCTTTGTTTGCAAGGCTCAAATTACTATATTCAATCCGGCCAGAAATGTTATTGCTCGCCTTAAAACCTTGGAGAATGAAGACAATCCTAAAAAAGAAGATTCATCTGACGATGATTAAGATCAACTTATTGTCTTTTTTTGTAAATATGTAGTCAATAAATGATTATAAAATCTATGAAGAAAATTGTTTCCTATTTTCTAACAAAAAAAAAAATTAATATGTTAATGTTGTGAATAAGAGAGGTTGATTCAGCGGAAGCCCAGAAGTTTCCAGAAATACATACAGTCTATTTTTCCCCACGATAGATTTTGACATTGAAAACTTTGAAACTTGGTGGAATATCTTCTGACCCGTTTGCTGTTTACTCCGGGGTTCCTCAAGGCTCAATACTAGGTCCACTTCTCTTCATTTTATATACAACTGATATCATAAAGGCTGTTAAAAATTGTAGAGTGATAGCCTATGCTGATGACACACAAATTTATTTTTCTTTTAAGCTGGCTAATATTCTTGAGGCTGAAGAATTAATTAACAGAGAGCTCCAAAACATAAAATTATTGTCCTTGGAGCACAATTTGATTTTAAATTCTAAAAAATCTAATCTTATCTGTTTCGGCAGTGCCAAAGGTCGTAATTTTGTCAAGAATAACCTGTTTATTCATATAGATAACGTACCTCTACCGTTTGTGTCTTCTGCGCGTAATCTTGGACTTATTATTGATGAAGAGTTGCGATTCCAAGAACATATTAAAAGTGTCATGAGCAAGGCATATTGTGCTCTCAAGCTTATTTATTCCAATCGAGATATTTTAAGTCGTCAATTGAAACGGATGTTGTGTGACAGTTTGGTGCTGTCACGATTCAGTTACTGTGATTTCATTTATGATAATTTTTTGTACGCACTGGATCGATATAGGATACAAAAAAATCATAACTTTTGCTGTAGACTTCTTTACGGTCTCAGAAAGTATGATCGGATCTCTCATAAGATTGTTCACTGCAACTGGCTCAACATGGATAATCGGAGAACTCATCATTTTGGAAATTTTCTTCATTCATTGTTCACCTCCCCTCATGCTTCTGTGTTACTTAAGAATAAGTTTATTCCCCGCAATAATGTACATAATAGGAACATCAGATCAAACAAGACATTTACAATTCCACAACACAAAACCTCCTTATTTCAAAGGGGTTTTATTTATAATACTATTAAGCTTTATAATTCTCTTCCACATGGCTTAAAGGAACATAATATCACAAGTTTCAAGCGTGAATACCGTTCTATATTGTTTAATGAGCAGGTTAATTCTCTCACCTAATTTAGTTGCTGATGGCTTTACTAGAGGGTGGTGCGCTGGTGTCTCGGGACTATCTTAAAACTATTTATATTATTGGTTAAAATTCCAACGTAATGTATAGTTAAATATTTAAATTTGAATATTTACTCATATTTGCGCTTTTTTTTTAGATATACTGTTTAGTTTTTTAGGGAATATTATGATGGTACATTTCATTAATATGTGGGGTGTATGCATATCACTAGATATGGTTGAGTTTGAGTAGCTTTCAAGCTAGACTTCGCCATGCTAGAGTTTGCATCCCCTATTATGTTAATTTATATTTACTAATACTATTGTTCTTCTTTGTATGGGAATGTATCTTAACGATTTTTTTTTTCTGTTCTTAATATTGAATAAAGGCGATATTTATTTATTTATTTATAAACAATAACGCTTGGCCCTGATTGGTCGGAAAATGAGGTGTCCTTGCAGGTTGACATCAGTTTTAGAATGCATGTCGTGCATATGGCATTTTGCAACCAATAAGCGGAATTAGCGGCATTTTTTATGTTTCAAAGTTGAAAATGTCAAAAATCTATCTTGGGATAAAAAGAGTGTAGTACCTGTAACCTGTATGTAATAGAATTATAATAGGTCTGTTTCTGCAGAAATCACAAACCAGTCGGAGCGAATTTTATTGGTTGAAAACAGTCAGAAAACTAGTTTCAACCAATTAAATTCACTCTGACTGGTTTGTGATTTCTGCAGAAACAGACCTATTTATTCTCTTATTTTCTAGTCAGTTGATTTCTGAAAAAAAAGCCGAAGTAAACAAGTTTTAAAAAAATAGATGCATATATTAGATTTATAAAATAAAATGTCCTTAACAAAATAATTTAACTAATTTCCCTGTTCAATATCTGACTAGTAATTGATTCATTTCCATACCGCCTCCTAGCTTCATTAACAAATGCGACTTCCATTTGTTTAACTAATCGATCAAAAAACATACTAGCCAATTGTGAGTGAATAAAAGATTTGAATTCAAATTTAACATAAAAATCTATAAGACAAGAATTGGGATTACTGTCGAGCCCTGGAGCGAATTTCCATGTTGTTTCTAGATAGTTAAATAAACGTCCATCGTTGCATTGGGCTTTCACTAGTCTCGGTTTTATTAAAGTCACTTTGGAAGTATAGTTTTCCACTACAGGAGGAAAACCGATTTCAAGATTGGCGTGTACAATATTGCCTTTGGTTTCTAGTATAGTAGACTTTGTGCAAAATGGCAGGAACTGTTTGTAATGCTTTATATCAGCTACTACAGTGTACATTTGGTTATCAGAGAAACTAAAACTTTTTCAATCAGTTATGAAATAATATACTTTCAAAAGTAGTTACCCAATAAGTTTTCTGGCCTTGTATAATTTCGCCTTGTCGAATACTTTATGAAAATGAAAACTTCTAATCGATCGAAGTAGCATGCCTTTCTGCCCTTGGTGTCTCTTCTTACATCTTTATTTTTGTTAAACAATTCATAATTGTTTTTAATAAAAATATATTTTATATTTTGACTAATTTGTCAATTTTTGAGTGTTTTGATTTGAATTTGCTGAGGTTATGTTGTACTTGTGCAAGGATAATACCACTACTACAGCATAGCCTATCCTCACAATGCCTGTGTAGTTCAAATCTCAAGCCCCCCCATCATACACCATGACAAAGCACCAGTGATGACGTAGGCATCGTATAGTTTCTTGCCTTGACGTAGGAGATTAACCAGCAAGTTTATCTGAAGTCTGAAGATGAATAAACCTGGCCTAAGAAGGATAATTTTCGTTTTTTTCAGATGAAGAGACTTACCATAACAAGTTAATAATGCAAAACCCTAAACTTGGCAGAAGGTATGCTAAAATCCTGGGTAAAAGTTATTTGTAAACGTTCGTCAAAAATAATTTAATATTCATTTATCTACAAGCGTGCGGTAACTAAGGTATATTACAGGATTTTGCGTGCGGTAAGTATCACATTACCGCACGGCGTGCGGTAATATTATCACCGCACGCTCTACCTACATAGGTACGTACCTTTAATTACCTACCGGAAATAAATTACCTACCTATCACCTAAATTCTACTTGTCCGCTGTCAAAGGTGATAGACGATTTTTTTTTTATAATTTTTTAAATTTCTTTCGGATATTTTGTTACCGCACGCTTGTAGATAATAGTTATTTATGATATAAGTGTTAAAAGTACATTTTTAAGGCACGCATGTGAAAGTTTGCAGAATGAGCGAAGCGAATTCTGCAATTCACATAAGTGCCTTAAAAATACTTTTAACACAAATATCATACAATATTTTTTCTACAAACGGCAATAACAAGCAATAACCAGTGACAAATTGGATTTTTAAATAAATAATAAATTGGAAGCATCTTTCCTACATAAAATTATTGAAGTTGATATTTGTCAAAAAATTCAAACAACCAGCACCTTGTTTTACAGGTAATGAAATGTCTCGTCAGTTTCTTGAAAGTCTGTCGTATAGTCTATCGTGGTCAGTGAGCTTATTGCTAAAAATGCAACAAAATACACAAGAAAAAGAGGGTTGCATCAATCCCTTGAAAAATATAGAGGAGGCGGCCGAAGGAGCTTCCTCAGTTGTTCAAATTTTACCATTAATATTAATGTAAATAATTAAAAATACAAACTTTTTTTGACGTTTGCTTTCAAATTTTGATGTTTCATTTTTAACACTAGTGCCTTAAAGACTTTTAACACTAGTGCGATAAAGTAACATTTTTAATGCTTCGAGGGGGTGTTAAAAATTGCATTTTTAACACGTTTGTAGAAAAAATACTGTATATAATACGTATGGTAATTACCTGAAATAGAATCCGTCACTGTCATCAATTAGTTTGTCAAAGTTATTTTCGAAAATGATACAACGAACAATTACAGCTAATAATTTTGACTGTATTAACCTTTTTCCAACTCGAAAAGAAGCAAATAGTAAACGGGTATTCAATTCAAGTTCAGAATGCATTACAACGGACAGCAGATGCGACAAAAATGAGTCTCGCAACAATTGCAAGTATTAAAATTCTCATCTGATTGGTCAATAATACTAGTTCAGAAACGCGTTTGTAAAATGCTAGTGTGAACATATCTTAAAATTCAATAGTAATTAACCACAAGTAGCTTTTTGTAGGTGATATCAACGACATAATCAATGGACATACGTTTTTTGCCACCAATATCACGTGACTTTAAAATGGTATTTGTTGGACTATACCACACTTATTATATAATATACTATTATCCATGACACAAATAAATTGAATATGCTAATATACAAATTGTAACATTGAAACAGTTAGCACAAATCACTAATGATGAAGATGAGGTCGATGATAGGGTTGCCAGATTTTGATAATTTAAAAGCGGGAGGTAGTAGTGCTAGTGCATGGGAGGAAAAAAAAAATGTTTCGCCGCTGACAATAAATTTTTTTTGGGATGCCACGCCCAAATTGTGCCACATTTTATCATATATTATAATACCACAAGAGAAACTATATTTCTTAACTACTGCGGAAAAGTGGCACTTTCCGTACGAGCTAAGAACACTATATTTTCTACGATTTGAAAAGTTAATATTTGTACCTATATACCCATCAATTGTGGTTATTTTTATTTTTACTTTTCCGCACTAGGTAATGCGGGAGAGTATAATGTTTTGGGAGGACCTAAAATACGCGCGGAAAAGTAGGGTTTCACGCACGCTCGTAGAAAAAAATTCTGTCGGCAAAATTTTTGACTGATATGAAATCTCAAAGCTCAAACTCACTATACAATCTTACAGTCGGTGTCACAATATTCACAATTAGACGCCCGATCCAGCTAGATACGCTCTCAGGAGTCTCAGGCTTAAGCAGTTCTGTCTTCGTTTGGAATTCGAAATAGAAAAGGATGCGAAGAATATTATCATACCGCGCCCGCTGCCGATGTTAATCGTAATGCGCTCCGGTTGCGCTGCGCTGTGTATCCGGATTTATGATGAAGTAGGCAATAAATTATGGTAAAAATAAATAAGGACACCTAATTTAAAATTATTATTCCATGTAAAATCTGTTTTTTTTTCAAGATAAAAGTCTAATGACATTATGTTGGCAATACAATGTAAAATTGTCAATGCTTTCAATTTTTTTATGTAGAAAAGGCTTGTGTTGCCAACATAGTTACTATATTTTTGACTTGGGGAATTATCTTAAAAAAAAACAGACTTTAATATCTATTTTGGGGAGTTTTGTTCAAGTGCGCGGGAGGCGGGAGGTTTAGTGAAAAAGGAAAAAGGGGAGACTCCCGCCTAAATCGAGAGGGTTGCCAACCCTAGTCGTGAGGATGAAAAAAGTATAATAAAGCCCTACTAAAAGAAATCATTCTTCGTTGAAAACTTATTGTGTTTTGTCTTTGCAGAAACAAGGCAGGAACGACATTAAACGAGACTTTATTTCGGTATAAGAACGGTTTCCACAACCATAACTACCTACCATACCATACATACAGGGTGGATGGCGTATTAGACGTTTAAGGAGAACTAAAAAGCGGACCATTTTGAAAATTTGGCAACCGGGATAAACGACCATGACCATGATCTACACTTTAAAAATATTTTTGTTCATGCGGTGTTGCTGCTTCTACTCCAAACCAGTGGCAACATAGCTATTTTAAGTGAAACACCCTGTATGTGATTGCATATTTGGATGCTACGTAAAATTCTGAGCAGATTTCATGTAATGTACCCTATACCTAAGTTCAACTGTTTTGGAAATAACGACAATTGAAAATTTACTTTTTGCAACTTAGGCTGTAAAACCTGAACGGTTAATTTTAGAGAAAAACCGATTTTACATTCCTATCTTAGATTTTTATAAACTATCATTTGACAGAAACTTTGAAATTAATCCATCAAGACAAAAAATTACCAATTAAATTTAATCTCCGATTAAATTCAAAGTTGGTGTCAAATGATAGTTTTTGAAAATCCAAGATAGGAATGTAAAATGGGTTTTTATTTAAAATTACCCGTTCAGGTTTTACAGCCTGTCAAAGTTGCAAAAACTCAATTTTCAACTGTCAATATTTCCCAAACAGTTGAACTTAGGTATAGTGTACCTATATCACAAGAAATCTGCTCAGAATTATACGTAGAATCCAAATATGCAATCACACACAGGGTGTTTAATTCAAAATAGCGATGTTGCCACTGGGTTAGAGTAGAAGCGGCAACACCGCATAAACAAAAATATATTTAAAGTGTAGATCATGGTCGTTTATCCCGATTACCAAATTTTCAAAATGATCCGCTTTTTAGTTCTTCATAAACGTCTAATACGCCATCCACCGTGGGACATTCTGTATATCACAGACATTTTCTCAAAAACACATATAGGTATATGTGTTTTTGAGAAACTGCTCTACTCTAGAATAGGGAATTTCCTACTAAATTTCATTTCCGCATCTTTTCGATCTAAACCTAAAAATGGAAAAATTTTTGAAGCATATAACCAGTATTGGAATTCCCTAGCGTAGATTAAGGGGGCAACATCGCTCCCATGCACACGATACAAAATACAGAAATGGGTTTTAGACTACAAAAAAAAACCGCACATCAGAATTTGCTGAAATTTGGCATAAACATTCCTTGATCGATTATCTAGAGAATAGTGCAGTTAGATTTTCCATATTTCGATTTTTTTTTTGGCCTATATTGTGAAAATGAACTATTTCCCAAAAATAGAAAAATCCACGGTAAAAATTGAAAAAATAAGAGCACTATTCTCTAGATAATCGACCAAAGATTGTTTATGCCAAATTTCAGCAAATTCTGATGTGCCGTTTTTTTTGTAGTCTAAAACCGATTTTGGAATAAAATTACAGATATTTTGGCAAATATACTTCAGGCTTTTTTTTCGAAGATGGCGCCACCAGTCAATTCGTGATGTCATAATTAGGCGTTTTCGAAAACCCCGAACCGTTGGAGTAGCAGCTGATGTAGGTTGTTCAGCATTTCCAAAAAAGCCTCTTTCTCACCTTGTGTATTTGTTTTGTTTTTTATTATTGGTTTATAAAATAATAGGCACAAAGCATGCTGTGCCATTAGTTTCCATTGAAAAAATAAATAAAGTATCTATTTTACGTACCTAGGTATAAATAAATTGGATCGTGTTTTGTAGGACAAAATGTCTTTGAAAAAATAAAAAGCTTCAATAATAATTATTAAAATTTATTTACAAAAGGTGGAAAGTGCTAAAATTAGAGTTTTCCCTTTGTGTTCTTGCATATTAGTGCAATAATAATATCCACCAATGCAGTAGAGCATTCAATTTAGGTATCTGGCGATTTGCATTTCTTTTACTAGCTCTTGGATCTTTTACCAATATGTGAAATTGTGTTTTTTATTATTCCTCCGAGTATTCTTCTATTTGTAAACCCATTCATGTGCCAATTGACCTTTTCAATTAAAAAAGATGGACGATAAAGTATGAAAACATTCAGATTCCCGCCAACATTTGCTTGCTCGTCAATGTCAAGTGTATAGGGTGTTTAGCAATCCCCTGGTTTTTATTCTAATCGGTGACTCGACCGATGAGTTAGGTATCTTTGTTCAGTGAATGGAAAATGACAATGACCGACATAAATTTGAAATTGGAAAGAAAATGTGGGAAGCAAACAGCTTCCGCAAACTAAACTTGAACGTGGATATCTTTGTATACTTGATGGGTCGTGGATTTCCCTTACTTTTGCGAGTATCAGTTCTGATTTTGTGTATCCAAATTTTGACAAATGTAGGATTTGATGAAAACTTATGGAAAGACACGTCCGCCGGTGAATAGGAATTATTTTCACGAAAAGGCACACTACACACAATCACCATTGTTAGGAAAAAACCTTGAAAAAACCGAGGAAATAATAGTTTCCAGTCTCACACGTATAAAACTCTTGTCAACAAACCACTGTCAATAGCTGTCAATCATTGTTTTCATACTCTTTTGGCGTCTGACAGTCTGACGCCAGAGAGAGAGGCTTCTAAATTGAAAAGGTCAATTGCTTCCTGAAAATCTCATAGGTACCTACCACAACTAAACATAGGTACCTCAAAAACAAGCTCTACAACAAAACATCACTTTTACAGAGTAGAACAAAATTTGAAGTCATACCAGGCATGGAAATACAAATCCCTCCATAATCCCATTAGCCAATCAGTGCGAACTGAGTGAAAAAAGTTGTACTGATTCTGCAAATTGAAATCGCTATAATATTTAAAATGCTCCACTGTAAAAATGCTTTCATATTGGCGCCATTTATAGATTTTTGTTAGAACTAAAATATAATTTGAAGGGGGGGACGTTGAGGCCTTAAAATAATAGGTATTCCGTCTGCTATAGTCCGTCTAGAAAAACCTGGAATTCTCTATTTTTCCTAATTTCAGTATGTATATTATGTATTTCCATTTTGGAAACATTCATATTTACAAAAGTTATGCTCTAAAGTAGACTGTTTCGATAAAGGTGTGTTCCAACACGTCAAAAAACCGTTCCATGAATGGTTTTTAGGCCACTCATCAGTACACGAATTTCGGATTCTACGCACAAATTTTAGGTTTTGCGCAGAATCGTGATCCTGTTGTGTTGGAATAAAGCTAGTATAAGCAAATATTTGTGATAAAATCGCACGATCCTTTGTCAAATTAAGTAGCGTGTCGTGTATATGGAGGTGGAAGCCAAGGAGACTACATAGGTACTCTAAGGAGTGCTTATCGGCCTCGTTTTTGGTAATCGCCGCCATATTGGTTTTCATTTGTTTTCAACCATTGCCGACGTCATAACTAAGTCGTCAGATGTTTAAACGGCCTACGTCAAGGCAAGAAACGCCATGCTGCTTACGTCACAACTGGTTGTTTGGCGTAGGGGGGTAGGGGGGGATTTGTTACACACAGGCCTTATGAGGATAGGCCATCCTTTAGTAGTAGTAGTGTGTATCATCCTTGAGTGGAAGCACAGAACCGCGTAGGTACAGGGTGTTTGTTTATAACTGGAACACTCTGTAACTTTTTTATTATTGAAAATAAAGGGTAGGTATGTAAAAATTGGAAATTTTTTTGCTAAATTGCAACGATCTCAATCGCTGCAAGGATATTTTTTTGTCATCATAGGTATACAGGGTGCGCCAGATAAGTCATTTTTTTAAAAAATGGAACGCTTTGCATATTTTTGCATTTTCAAAATTCTTACAAAATTAGCTTCACAAAAATGGCAAACACTATTTGGATAACAAAAATATACAGGGCGTTCTATTTAAGAAAAATTCCTTTTTGGCGCCCCCTGTATACCTATGACGACAAAAAAATATCGTTGTATCGCTTAGGGTTGCAAATTACCTACCAAGAAATTTTCCAACTTGAACATGCCCTTTATTTTCAATAATGGGAAAGTTACTGAGTGTTCCAGTTATAAACAAACACCCACTACATTTCACTGTCACGATTCTGCATTCTGCGCAAAACGTAAAATTTGTGCGTAGATTCCGAAATGCCCGAGGAAATTTCTATACAGAGTGGTTCTGAAATAATGCAAAACCATTCTATGGACGATTTTTTTGGCGAGCTGGAACAGACCTATACAGTGAGGACATAAAGTCCGTCGCCTCCCACTAACTTTTGAACCGCTCGGTATATTGCAACGAAATTTGAAATGATGATATGTGGCCAAATTCTTCATCTTCTGAATAACAAATGACAGCTTAAGCTGTCAAAATGACAGCTGAGCGCAGTTTTGGAACATTTTTTTAAATAGAAGGCGGTGTCGGGTGATAGATTGTTTTGAAGATCTCTTTATTCTTGATTTATTCTTCGATTCTGAAAACATTTGGTTTAGTGGTTTTCAAATGATGGCGAAACAAAAAAGGCTTGTTTTGGTCATAAAAAACTTTTATGAGTACCATCGTCACCAAAAGTATCTGGGATAGAAATAATTCATAATAATCTCCTGGACTAAGTCTAGGTACTGTCATATTCATTTCAATGCATTTAATTCATAGTTTGACAAATATTTGACAATAAAATTCATATAATAGGACAAGAGCTAATGTGATGCTGTCCCAGTTAGTTTTGGTGACAATGGTACCTATTTATGTGCAAAACAAGCCTTTGTTTTTTCGTCATCATTTGAAAACCGCTAAACCAACCGCCCAGCTGTCATTTTGACAGCTGAAGCTGTCATTTGCATTTCAAAAAATGGAGAATTTGCTCACATAGTATCATTCCAAATTTCGTTGCAATATACCGAGCGGTTCAAAAGTTAGAGGGGGGGGGGGCGACGGACTTTATGTCCTCACTGTATAGTGTTAGATGAGTTTTCACCTAACTTATGATGATAGGATGTAAGTAGGTACCTATATCCTATGCAATTTTATGACTCGAGTTCAATAACTAATGACTATGTAGGTAATTACTGTTTATTCCAAATAAAGTTATTAAAGTATTAAGGGCGATAAGTGTTACTTACCGCCCGAGAGTGTTTCAATATTCGAGGGTGGTTAACTTGCTTCAAGCAGATCTCAGCAGCTGATCGGCGTTCACGTGTTCCATAACTCCCATATCATATGATAAGCGCATAAATAGCAGCTCTTAGCAGATCTTCCTGATGGCAATAAGAAAGATCCCCATAACTAACCGCCACCACAAAACTTTTTAAAAAAATTATAAATAAAATCCAAAATCGAGAAAATAGTATAAAACTCACTTCATTGCAGAAGGCTATTCCCACACTCATTCGTTCGTCCACTCGCTCCTTTCGAATTCGTGTGGTAACACGTGGCTTTCTGCACTTTGTATTTTAATAATTTATTATTAATTGAAAGGACGTCACTGAGACATTGTATTTTCAATAATCTTTCATCGTTTCCAATGTTCGCAAATATTCTTGACTCACATCACTACTGTCAACAAAAAAAGGCATTTCTTCCAGAATTTCTTTCATTGTGTCTCCCATTTTTCCCATTGGTTCTTGTTCCTCTTGTATTAATCCAGCTGCGATCTTTGGATATCTTATGTGCTGCTTCACTTTTTAGGGCTCTAATGAAGCCTCCGCTAGTCCTCTGCTACTTGATGGTTAGCTTATGAGCAGCGTTCTCTGTACGTCCGTATCTCGAACTCCATTTATAAAGTTTTCAGCCGCTAGTTGTTCTCGCATTTCTGCTGCTACTTTCTGATAGGGCATATTAACCAAACGGCGGATGTCGGTTTTAACTTCTTGTAGGCTTTCTGCAGCTTTTTGTTGTCTTGGTTTTAGTTGTATCTGATAAAGGTGTCTTCGGTGTTAATCTGCCTGATCTCAAGTCACATTCCACAAAAATTTAAATGCCGGGTACCACTATTAAAAATTTGATTAATTTATTTTCCAAATGACTATTATCCAGAAATCGTCCTAGAGCAAAATTTGTTCAGTATGCTATCTACTCTCTGATTTTACATCTTTCCATGTGAGACAAGTGATAGAGGTAAGGAAAAGGCACAGAAAAATATCATTGATCATAATAAAGATCATTAGTGCAAATGCAGCTAATAAAAAAGTCCCAACAAATAAAAACTCTAGTAGGTATAATAATTTTAATAATAAAAACTCCGCCTAAAACAACAATCCTGAAACTGTGATTTCGGGAAAATCTTTGACGATTCTCCGGAAAGCCGTTACGGTGCAAGCCCAAGAAAATCCTCTGGATTGATTGTCCTTTTGCCAATTCAACCACGTCAACAAATTAGATCTGTCGTCGCAAAACCGGTCAATTTGAGCTAAAGTTTTGTACGGGTTGTTTACACCAATCAGAACCACGCCACGTCGACTTGTAGGATTGTAGACCACTCTCCAAAAAATTTCCGGAACTGGCATACGCCTTTGATTACCACTGACCTGAAGATAGAGCGGGATTTGGGCACCTGTTATGGCATGAGGCAAAGTTGTTACATTAAAACCACCTAAAACATTCATTTAGTTGAATTAGGAGAGTATTTTTAAGGTGAAAATTACCTGTCCAAACTTGTAAACGGACATTATTCATTTCAACATAATCTTGCACGTCCTGTTCAGCCTGCTGCCAATTAAAGCCGTTGAAAGTTTGCCATTGAGGCAGAGCATTAACAAAATGAAACGTACTGTTTTGCTGGGAAGCGTAGAAAAAGTCACTTCTAGCGGTCAAATGCCCTCTGGACAAAAAATGATTATTATTTTGTATGTACTGTGTACTAGCTGCAGGCAAACCTAACAAACCATTTATTGTTTTTCTTTGGGTTGCTTGTGTATAAAGCGTATTCACGTTGGTTATGTTAAATATACCAGAACCCTGGGTCCAGCTTGGCCGAGGAGTACCACTAATTTGCTGGTTGATAGCGGGAATTAATTCGAAGAACGTGTAAATGGGTGATTGACGTGCCACATCGAAGCATGTCAGAATAGTTCTGATGAATCTTGTAGTGTTTATGGCATAACCAACTTCAACTTCTCTTCCGTTGGACTCGCAAGTTCTTCCGGTGTACCTGGCAGTCCAAGTTGGATTGACTGAACATCTGATTTGAGCCCAAGAATGCCTTGAAGATTTATGATTAAAAACTTTATTTACAGTAGGTACTTGATTATTAGAAATTTCGGACTCTGACTATTCCAGTAATCATCGAATACGGAAGAACTTCTTCAAACGAAACAATTACCTTGTTTGTGTACTGTTTATGTTGAAACTAAAACTAGTTCCAGACACACAAGTAGCAGTTGCAACTGACAATCTTGTAGCGGTACCTCCAAGTACCAATCGGCCACCAGGACAAGCCAAGTCTATAGCTTGGCCTCGGCTAAATGAAATGGTTCTAGTTCCAGCCCTAGTAGGATAAACGAAATTGGTTGAATTCACCAAAAGTGGCGTCGGTAGGAGGGCACCAAATGGATTTATGGTGCAGGCTGCATTTAATAGACGTTGACCTTAGATATGATTTTATTATAATTTGGAACTTACCAGCAGCATTGCTAGAAAAAACGAACCCCAAAATTACTAAAAAAAACATTGTGAATGAATGTCATTTCAGAATGGCAATTTTTATTGTATTTATTGATATTATTAATCCAAAGATTAAAATTTTAGAGAAATGTTAAGCTATCAGATGACTGTGAGGGATTACCAACTATAAATCATCGGTATTTTATTTCCGTGACGCTTAAAATTTATTTAACAAAAATGTACGAGAGCATTTGCCTCATTTTGATTGCATATCTCAGTTACTTTAAATCTAATATTTATGCAATTAAAGGTAACATTTTTACACGACATTTTTAAAATTTGTTCATTAAATTACCCGTCTTCCGTCTACAGAGTAGATGGCCATGAAATTGTGCCCAATTGGTGTTCTTGCATCCAAGCTGGGAGCTTAAATTCTCATTCTTTATATTTTTAGAAGATTTGAATTATGAATTTTAACAGTTCTGGATTCCTACATTGTATATCTCTTTTATGTAAGAATTCAAACGAAGATTTGCTCAAGCCCCCTTCAATTCTCCTCAGGTCTCCATGATGTGTAATATATCCCTATATAAATGCCTCATATTGTTAAACCTACATTTTAATTATTCTTCTATTTTAGATCTTGTTGCGGAAATAACCCACAACAAGTTTAAAATGTTATTATTTGTAGTTTATCAATATAATCTCAATTTCTATTATTTATCATAAAAATAATATTCTAAAAAAAGAATCCTGTAAAACTGGCAACAGCAGCCCTTTTGAATCGGTAAAATTACAGATTTCTTCATTACCCTATGAGCAATGGATCTATTTTGTTGTTGTGATTGGTCAGTTGCCACTCAACATCCCTGATTTATGCGACCTGCTCCGAAAAAGGCAGTCGACTCGACGCACGGTACACAACAGTAGTAATCAAGAAGCAGAAGAGTAAGCAAAGACTCTGCACCCTCTCGCCTCTGAACGCTCTACAGAGGAAAAAAACCCCCAGAAAACCCCCGTTAGTACGCGAATTATAGTAAAATACTACTCCCAGTGTCTCAAGGCCTGACATGGCCTATATTATCAACGATATTATTGATTACAATTCATGTAATTAACCCCTAAATTGTTGCAAGTCATCTCGGACCTAGCAAAATTCTCTACTACGCCTGTTTAAGGTTATTCCTGTCTCACTCTCGACGGGCTTCAACTCTGTATATCATTGTGTTCTCTCTCTTAGTGGAAAATCCCTTAGCTGACAGTGCAAATTACTACGAATAGTGATAAATGGATAAATAATCACTATATGGATTTACCGGTATGAACTGGATTAAGCAAGTAAGACCGTTTCAATTTCTCAAAACAGTCGAACAATAAATTAATAAATACTGAATACCGATTCGGTTGAAATGCACTATAAATTGAAGTGTTTGTTCTAACCTTTAATACAGAAATTTGGTTTTCACACTCGTGAAATGAACATTAATTTGTAAATTTGTATATAGAAACTGAGCATATATATATAGACTTTTCTTGCACTTATTGTTTACACACTTCAGCAGAAAAGTGCTCAAATTATTAACTCTCAATAAACAAAAGAACCTTCAAGGATTATAAACATTTTGTGAATACAGTGAGCTGATTGAAGTTCACGAATTATTTGTGTTGTGCTCTCGTAAATTTAAATTAGTTAATTTGTGTTCTCGTTCATTGAACATTTAACCATAATTGATATTATTATTATGAAATTTCACTATTTTTATAAATCAAGATACTTATTTACTCGCTTATTTACTTTAGATTAGTATAAAATTTGTAGTTCGACTGGACGTCCAAATAGGAATTATTAGATAGGATTTGATTGCTGATTAAACCGAATTAACTTCATTTATTAATTAAATTGATAACTATTCTATTTCAGCGTTTTATTTGTATAAATGAGAATCAAGGCACCCCTAGTTCAATACAAGGCTTAAATGATCCAACACCTAATGGTTAATTTTTACAGTCAGTCAAAGTAAAAACTTTTGACATCCCTGGTGCGGTAATGACTAGAGTCCACAAAAGGGTAATAGCTAGTTCCGTCACATTGGTCCTTCGAGCCGGATTAAAGCCTTGATTGAAATGTAATTAATTAAAAAATTTAATGTTTTTTTTATGCCTCTATCTCTGACTGCTTTAAGATTCTCATTTCTACACTGCTCAATAAAAACTTGTGTTTTTATTATATATTGAAATTTGCCTACTCGAATCCCTGTATTGCTCGTACTTGGTAAGTACATTCTCTGTTGTAAATATTCTATATTGTAAATAGGTACATTGTGTATTGATTTGTATAGGTACAATTTATTAATTAGCTTGTTTGGCTCTCTTAATTCATTTTAAATTAATTGATTATTATTGGTGGAGTTATTTAAAGGCTATTTCTCAATATGGATTTTGATGCTATGAAGCAAGTCCGTACTCGCGCAAAAAGCGCTATTACTCGCATTGCTAATTGGGTGAAAAACAATAAGGATGTTGAAGTAGACCCAACTCAATTTGAAAATCGTATAGTTAACTTAAAAGATAACTTTGAAAAATACTCAATGACTCAAGATGAAATTGAAACTTATCTTGAAGAATTCACTGCAAATGATAACGAAAATAGAGATATTGTTGAAAATCAATTCTATGATACTCTCTCTCTGATACAAAAATGTATTAAAACATTGTCTCCGGTTACCCTGAACACTCCACCAATAAGCCAAACTAGTTTGCCACAGCTGAATTTGCCACCACATATGGAAGTGAAACTCCCTCAAATAAATATAAACCCCTTTAAAGGTGACACCGCTGAGTGGACTTCCTTTTTTCAAATCTTCTCTGCTCTGATAATTGATAATACTCACCTGAGTAAAATACAAAAATTTATTTATTTAAAGTCATTTTTGAGAAACGAACCATTGAAATTGATCGAAAACTTGGCTGTGACAAACGATAATTTTGATATCGCTCTAGAAATATTGCAGAAACGATATGAAAACAAAATCTCTGTAATAAACGCTCATTTTGTTGCTCTCTTGGAACAAAACACACTCAGTAAATGTAACGCTCAAACTCTCAGAGAGTTTGTTACAAATTGTAGAAAAAATTTACTTTCTTTAAAGAATTTGCACTATTCTTACGAACAGCTTTGGGAATTTTTGATAATATATTTAATGGGAAAAAAACTTGATTTTGGCACGCGCAAGGCGTTCGAGAATGAGCGCGATTTAAATCAACTCCCTCAACTTGATGACCTTTTTGAATTCCTCGAAAAAAGATGCTTAGCTTTGGAAAATCTCTCAAGTACGGAAGTGCCTTCAGCACAAAACGGGCAACGAAAAGTAAACAAAACCCCAAACTCTGGCGCTGCTCTGTTCGCTCAAAATAATATAAGTAAAGTCACTACACACTGCTTATATTGCAATCAAGACTCTCACAAAATTTATATTTGTAATGAGTTTAAAGGTTTACAGGACTCGGAAAGGAAGACTTTTGTTTATTCAAAACAACTCTGCTTTAATTGTCTTGGTTCCAAACACACTCTTGCCAATTGCCCAGCAACCAAAGGTTGTTTTATCTGCTCTCAAAGGCATCATACATTGCTCCACAATGCTTTTGTCCCTCAAAATCCTCCAGCTCAAGGTCACAGACCCCAACAAAGACCCCATCATAATAACCCTTCGATTGCTAGACCAAATTATTCTAATGGTCAGCAGCAACCGTCTCAGCATCCTCCCAAGACACAGACACAAGGTTCAAGACCACAAAATCAAGCTGACTCACAACCAAACCAAAATGAACTTCCCAAATCTTCCCAAAGTCTCCACTCCGTCTCAGCACTCTCTACAAAAAACTCACAAACTCTTTTAGCAACCGCATGCGTGACACTTTATGACGCAGACAGGCGGCCCCTTCAAGCCAAAGCCATTTTGGATAATGGCTCGCAACACTCCTTTGTAACTGACAAACTAGTTAAAAGGTTAAAACTAGTCCCCTATGTCAAAACAACATATGTGTCTGGCATAGCTCTTAGTAACAATGTTACTAATAAGATGATTGATTTGAAAATATACTCAAATTTGTATCCTCATAGGAAATTTGAGATTTCCTGCGCCGTTCTCCCTGTAATAACAGGACCCCTCCCCTCTATACAAATAAATGTCAGTTCGTGGAATATACCGAGCGACATTGTTCTTGCTGATCCTAGTTTCACTCGTCCTTCGGAAATTGACCTTCTGATTGGTTCAGACCTCTATTACAATCTCCTGACAAAAGGCCTGATTCATCTAGGTCATGGCCTGCCCACAGTCTTAAACACTCATCTCGGTTGGATTCTTGGAGAAACGTTTCCCCAAAATTCACACCATAATAACTGCTCTCATTTAGTCACTAGTAGCCCTGCACAACAAGTGCACTCCTCTGTCTCTATGTTTGTTCAAAGCCCGGACAATAGCTCTCTCGAAAATATAGTGACTAAATTTTGGTCCATGGAAGAAATTCATACCAAAGCCCCTCTCTCCCTTGAAGATGCAAAGGCTGAAGCTTGTTTCAAGGAAACAACTCAAGTATTAGAAAATGGCTCTTATCAAGTTAACTTACCCTTGAAATCTCCCTCTGAAAATCTCAAACTCGGTGATTCTTTGTCTATAGCCACAAAAAGATTTCACAATCTCGAGAGGAAATTTGTAAAGGACCCAGATTATTTTCATGAATATCAGAAATTTATTCATGAATATGTTAACCTTGGACATGCCAGGTTCCTACCCCTTTCCTCTGCTAATGAAAATCTGGAGCTCAAATGCTTCCTCCCTCATCATGCTGTGGTTAGAGAAGGTGCGTGCTCAACGAAGCTGCGTGTGGTCTTTGACGCCTCTTGCAAAACCACAACGGGCCTTTTCCTAAATGATATAACTCTCAAAGGCTTTCAGGTCCAGCCTGACCTTTATGACATATTGTTACGCTTCAGATCTTTCAAATATGCTCTCACCTCTGATATTGAGAAGATGTTCAGACAAATAAAGATAAATCCCACTCAGACCTTTTTATTAAATATTTTATGGAGAGACGAGCCTGAAAAACCACTTCAGTGCATCGAATTGACCACTGTCACGTATGGCACTAACAGTGCTCCATTCCTCGCAACTAG